ACATCCAGCACCACACAGTTATAAAACCTTTTATATTTTACTTATATATTTTTAATATTTTTCTTTAAAATACTGTCCACACCTAAGCAGCCTCCAGTCTAGCCATGTTTTGAGACCTCATGAATAAGATCTATATTCCTTTCTGGCAACTGGGCAGTGCTGAAGACTTTGGAGCCTGGAAGGTTTGGGCTAACAAAGCAATGTGAGTTAAAGGTTTCTAGCAAGGAGCTGAATAGTTCCTCTTAGCAGCAACTGGTAAAGTCAAAGTATCAACTAAAGTTCAGGTGACCTCTGGCGGTGCACAGTTTGGAGCATTTCATCCTCCAGCTAAAAACCCCTGATCACTGGGAGAACAACGACAGCTCATATTTCCGCAAAAAATAAATTTAACAACTTTAAGAGTGAATGTGGCAGCAGATGGGGGTGGGGAGTGGGGCAAACATCGACTGCATTTTCTGCTGAAAATCCAGTTGGGAATTTGTGCTGTGACCTACATTACGCTGGCTTCCACCCCCATAACTTTCTCTCCCCTCAAGGAACAGCAGAATATGATACATTCCTCAAGGATAAATTACTCTCCAAAAAAAAGGCCCCATTTTAATAGCATGCTGAATGACAGCACAGCAAATCATTTAAGCCTTCACTGATTTGCAGTCCAGTTCCTCAGAATAAATTCTTGGAATCCACGCCTCCCTTCATTAATGTGCTTTCAAAAGCACACCTGATATTTCCCTCAGTATCTGCTAACATCTGCCATGTGTCATGTCTGAGTGTACACCTTTCTCTGAAATGCCTGGGTAACACAAAGAATATGGGGCTCCCAAAGGAAGAAGGTTTTGGGGGGCTGCCACTCATCTACTTGCCATTTTGGTGGGCAGGCTCTAGTCCTCACCTGGGCCACACTGATACACAGAGTTCAAAATGGAAAAGAAAGGGCTCACTTCCTACTGCCCTACTTTCTAATGCAGAGACTGCTGCTGGCATTAGCAAGAAAGGCAACGGGAGGCAGAGAGATTTGGAGAAAAAATTCAGCCTGCTGATTCTTCAACTCTCAGATCTGTACAGATGGCAGAATACTTGGAAGTCATGGTGCCCCTTACAGAACACAGTGAAATACTGACACAGTAAACAGAAAAAATAAACCAGAAAAGTGTGTGCAAAAGCAGGTCCCATGCAATATTGGACTCTAGGCTGCACAAGCCTGAGAGTTTTAAGGAATACTTATGGGAAAAAAACAAAACACCAAAAGGAAACCACAAGCAAATTCTACCCACAGGCTTTTATGCCCCTGCCCATCTTCCCTCTCCCACCCCAAACTGCAATGGGGCCACCTTTTCTGAAGTTTAGCAGTGGACTAGCTCATGAACATACATGGGAGCACAAAGGTGAGCCAAATGGATCATGGGTAACATGCAATGTCTGATCCTCACATACAAACCCTGTATGGAGAGGCCATCTGAGCAGTGGGTAAGAGGCAGAATGGCAAACTCGAGTGTCTACAGAGGTCAGGCAGGGAATGTGAGTGAGTGATGCCACTGGAATACATGAGAAAAACAGCCAAATACCAAAAAGAAATAGCAAGGAAGGTTCAGCTCAGTGTCTAAGAGACAATGGTGGGGGGTCGGGGAGGAGCTCCATGGAGACAAGGTAGCATGTTAAGCAAAGCTGTAGCCACATGTGGTTGAGTGAAAAGTAGAATAGGCATTCGTCTATCCCACTGCCAGAACAAAATACCACACAGTATTTGTGCCTTAAGCAACAGATTAATTTCTCACAGTTCTGGAGGCTGAAAGTCCAGGGTCAAAGAGCTGGCAGATTCGGTTCCAGGTGAAGGGAGGCAGCCTTCCTGGCTTCTGGACAGCCGCCTTCTCATTGTGTCCTCACATGGCACAGAGAGGACACTTAGGTCACCCGGCCGCTTCTGATAGGGCCACTGATGTCATCATGGGAGCCCCACCCTTGTAACTTCATCCAAACCTAACCACTTCTAAAAGACCCCAAATACCATCCCATTGGAGGGTAACACTTCAACATATGGGTGTGGGATGGGAGGAAAAAGCATTCACTTTATAACAAGGTATGACTAATTCTCATTTTCAAGAAACATGTGACATCTGATTTTTTAAAATCTGACACCTCCTAATTTTTTGATGATGGTAACACTTCAATTATGAAAAACAAATAATCAAGCCCGATTGGACTGGTCAGAGGGTCAGGCTCCATACTTAGGTCGTAGGTTTGTCATCCACGCCCCAAACATGGGCTCTGGGACCAAAGAGCCCAGGCTCCTCACGTGCTGGTAGGGAACCAAGGGGTCAGCTAGGTAACTTCTCAGAGCCTCACTTTCCTCAGCAGTATGAGCTGGAACCTTAGGACATTGCCCTTCTTTCTACTGACCACTTTGGAAGGTTCCACCTAAGACAATGGAGGTGTGTGCCCACCTAATAGGCTCTCGGGGAGATAAGGCAGGTGAACCGTTAAGCCAGTGCCTACAGTAAGTGCTCACCAAAGGGAGGGGAGGAGGAAGGGAGCTGCACCGGCCAGGTACACAAGACCATTCGTGTTCAGTAGCTATAGCTGATCTTTGGGATCCTGAATAACCAGTTGAAAGAGCCACGGAAATCTGTCAAGATTTACTTGAAAAATATGCTTTTTAGGGTTTATTTCCTCACCCAAGAGTTTTTGTTTTTAAGCTAGGAATCTCTTCGGGGAGCTCCTGAGCTGAAATACCGTCTCACTGTTTTCCGTGGGAGCACACCAACTGGAAATGATCACGTGGCTTCACCAGCTTCTCTCCCATTTCCCCAAATGAAACAACCTGCAAATTTTCTGACCTGTAACCCCATCTCACTCAAAAAGACAAAGATGGAGAGGGAAGCTTAATTTGGAACTGCAAGGAAAGCCAACAGAGAAAAGCTGTTTAATTCATCTGGGGTCCAGACCAATGTTCAGTCAGAAATCTGATGTCAATATTGTGTCATTTGCCACAATCTCCTACTGAAATTCTTTGTGTTTTTTAAAGCCCATGAAATTGAACCTTATGTTCTCTGTGCTAATCAGGCACAAAAGGTTTCTCTCCCAGCTCTGATTAATGGCAACCAGTGCAGCTGGGATTGCACAGCACACTGAGACACTCTCATTAACACACAATTTTCACAGTTCCTCAGGCTAATGTTTGGTAAACGCTCGACCAGAGATGCCAGGATGTGCCAGGCAGGAAGGCCACCAGCTTGCTTGCGTGGGGCAGGGTTTTCTCCTTCTACACTCGTGGCATGCAGCCTTTCTTAGCATCTGAGCCTTAGGACCAACTCTCTAACTCAATTTTCATCAGGGAATTTAGCCAAAACGCACAAGACTTGGTGAGAGGTTAATTTCCAGTACACATCCTGGGCTGGGGAGCTGCCTTTAAAACAGGAACTCTCTTCATGAACTACTGTGGCACTTTTAGAACAGAGAGATCAAGGTTCTGGCATCACAAATAATTGAATAAGAGAAAAACATAGTTTTCCATACAGTGGGCGTCTTTTATCACAGGCAGCACGATAAAATTATATCTTCTCACAAAAGCTTAAAACGACCAGAAAAGCATAAGCAACCAGCTTGGCTGCCATTTCAAAGGCCCTAAGCAGGTAAGAGGGGCAGTGCTGCCCATCACGGTCTGGTTGGAAGTTTAACTTGGAAACTGGGGAAGCTGATGCTGAAGGAGCACCCCCACATTCAGAAGCAGAAATAAGCCCCATTTTATGTTACAGCATCATTGTTAGAACAAATCAGACCCTCAGAACACCATTTCAATGAAAGGAAATTCTTACCTCAGTAAATCACACAGGCTCAGACCAGCATTTCTCAAATGAGAGCCCCAATCCCATTTTGGGGAAGCCACAGGTTTGCTATGTGTTTCTGTATTGTGTTTCTATTATGATGATAATATTTTAGAAGTAATGGAATTATATTCTACAACATCTAAAGACTCTTTAAAAACTAAGTACTGCTTCACCATTCCGGTTCTCAAAACTTTAAGGATGTAAATGTTTCAGGCTGTTAAGAGACCTAACAGGAAAAGTGGACTCATCAGTGATAAGGTAGTGACACCAAGTGACAGGCACCTGCTTGAAGGCCGCTGCACAAATAGATGTTTCCAGGTTATGTGACCCAGGAAAGATAATGAGGAATGGAGTCAGTAGGTCTACTGGCATGGCACGTGGCAAACACAAAAGACCCGCTGCACACCACTGTGAGCAAAGATTTGGTTTCAGAAAAATGGCCACAGCATTGCATTGACAACTTTGAACTGTAATGATTTTGTGGGAGGAGGGGGATAATGGCGGAAAGAAGGGGAAGGGTTGTCAAGGAACATGTATAAAGGACCCAAGGACAAAGCCCAAGGGGGGAAGGATTGAGGGTGGGAGGTGGGGGTGGGCATCGTGGGGGGTAAATGGAGACAACTGTACTTGAACAACAATAAAAAAAAAATAAAATAAAAATTTTTTAAAAAGACAAAAAATTTTTTTGACTTTCAATAAGGACATATAAAAAACAAGGAATTTATACCTCGTTTTAAGTCTGTTTACAGCTAGTTTTAAGTAACTAATATTAACATGAAAATCATTTAAGTTGGTACCAGTGAGAGTCTGAGAATTTTTCTTTGGGTTTAATACCCAAACAGAAGACACTGAGAGAACATTTTAGCTCTGGAACACCTGTGAGCTGCACAGAAATGAATCTTTCCTGTGATCACAATGCATGAAAGTATAAAATAATGTAGTCCTGAATTTATCTGCAAACCTCAAATCTACAACACTCATTTGCAGACTCACGCTTTCACGAGCCTTTAGAACTCCAAAGCGCTGTGGCCTGAGTCACCCCGCCAGCGTCTCCCATGGCTCCTGGGGCACACTGGGTCCTGGGGTGTCTAGGACACAGACATGCTTCACTGCCCATCGATGGAAGAGAGAAAAAAGGACATGTGGGCAGAGCACGTGCCCGTGAATGGTACTTACACAAAGAAGGGCATCAGCTGAACGAGGGTCTCTTTCTTGGGATTGGTGGCAAACTCGGGGACCATCTGGATGACTTTGTTCATGACGTTGCGCAGGTAGTTCTGGAGCTGCTTCCTTCGCTCCTCTACAAACTTGGCATCCTGAGGAAACAGAGAGACAGGTGTGCTCAAAGTATGCTTTCCTCACCTATCCATAAACTTTCCCCTAGAACATGCAATGATCAATCATTATGACCCAGACAGTTAACATGTATTGAGTGACTGCCACATGTAAAGGGTGTCTCAGGCTTTGCATGTATGATCACATTTAATAACAGAGAAGACGCTCATGATATTAAGTGGGGGAAACAAGGTCCATCAAGCTCCCTACAGTGTGTTCCTAGAAATGAATGAGGCCTTAGCAACTGTGGCTATTATTTACTGAGTACCTACCATGTGCTAAATGTGGTGCTGGGGGCGAAGGGACACACACACACACACACACACACACACACACACACACACACACACACACGGTCATTGCTGTGGCCCTGGTGGAGGTACAGGCCACTGGGGGAGACACAGATAAATCTAGTGTCCACACAGGTGAGTATATAATTATCAATCACATTAAATGCCACCCTGCAGAGAGGGTGCTTAATTTTGCATTCATAAGAATTTTCTCAAATATAACTCTGTTGCTACTATTTAAGAAAGATTTTATTAATAAGCAAATTCTACCTCGTCTTGACAAACCAGGAGAAAGGGCAGCACAGGCCTACCCCCCCACCCCCACGCCAGGCCGGGTGCGCCGTGCGTGCGGCTCCTGCGGCAGTGCAGGTCGGGCGCAGGCGCCACCCCGCCCTGCTCCGGGCCCTCCTGCTCACACCCCCACCCCGCCCTGTACCTCCTTGCCCCTCTCAAGCAGGGCCAGCTTCCCAGGCGTGCACCCTGCGCGGTCACACAGTGCCAGGGTTTGGACCTGTGTGATGATCTGCTGTCCCCTCCTGGCAATTCTTAATAATTTGGGGACAAGGGGACCCACATTTTCATGTTGCCCTGGACCCTGCAGATTTATAGCCCATCCTGTTCATTCCAATCTGCACTGGCGGCCCTGGTTTATAACAAGGAAACCCTGGCCAGCGAGGAGGCAAGAAAGGCTTTCTCTGAGGCAGTGGTGCTCTTTCTGGACTGACGGCCAAGAAGGGTGAATGAGGGACCAGCAGAGAGGGTGGTGGGAGAGACAAGGTCCTTCATCCTCACAAGAACAGAAGCAGCATACTCTGGTTAATGTCACACGACAAATGAAGACATTGCGACCTAGAGAGGGGCTGGGCAGCTCACCCAGGAGGTCCCTCACCTCCACCCCACACGCCCAGTGTCAGCACAGAGCTGGCCCCAGGCAGGACTCAGTAACAGTCTGCTGAATGGGGCCTCATGCTCAGAGCCACCTAAGAACCACCCAGTATGCGCCCTGGTCTCTGGTAGAATCCCCACAAGGCCCTGCCTAGGACTCAAGCACGGCAGGGAGATTCTTTCAGAAGTGCCAGATTTAGCAAATAAATATACAGGACACACAGTGAAATTTGAATTGTGATAACCAGTGAGTCATTTTTCAGTTTTCATAACTCAATATTCAATAATTCATAATACAATAATTTTTCAGTGTTCAAATGTGTACCACACAATAAAACCCTCCCATGCAATATTTGGGACACACTGAAACTAAGAAATTATTCATTGTTTATCTGAAATTAAAATTTCACTGAGTGTCCTGTACTTCATCTGGCAACCCTCCTCTGAGCAGCAGGTGGGAGGAAGAAACACAGGGGCCACTTCAGGTCTCAGGAGGTCCTGGAGCCCCAAGCCACTCCCCGATAGCTGCCTCGGCGGCGACCTTCCTCCAGAGGGCCGGCAGGAACGGAGCCCTGCCGATGGCCACCCCCCTCACCACCAGCACAGTCCAGGCAGCGGGTAGAGCAGTGTGCTAGAACCACCTGCAGCCTGGCGGAAGCGCAGGTGCGCTGAGTGGGCAGAGCAGAGGCACGGGGCCAGGAGAGCTGCAAGTCCGGGCCCAAGCTGGAGCCACCCAGCCTCTGCTGCTCCTGGCCTGAATGCCACGTTCTGCTCTGGGGTCTCCACGTTTCAACCCATCATTAAGCAATTAGATGCTGCTCTTTGGGAAGGTGGTTAATATGCCAGGTTAGTGCTGAATTGCACTAATTAAACCTAGTTTTTCATCTATACAAGAAGCCCTCAAGGACAGCTTGAGAGGCACGGTTGTGTGAAGGAAAGAAAGGAGCTAATCAGCCTTGGAAGATCTGGTGCAGAGTTCTCCCTCTTCTGGGGAAGGCTGCTCAAAACACTAAAGCAACAAGGAGAAACTGGAGATGGCTCCTCATGTGACTTGCTGGGTTGGTCTACAGCTTCCTGGGAAGGTGAGGATTCTCAAAAGGAAGGTCAGAGGATACACCTGGGAGTTGAATCTGCCCATCTCCACTTGATTAGCATCTCTTCTCCCTCAAGCCCCAGGGGCAACAGTGACTTGGCAGAAAGGTTATCACTTTGGAGGAATTCCAAATCCTTCCCAAATACTGATTCCTCAAGCTAGCCGGTCCTGGAAACCCCAGCCAGCTCCTGAGAAAACCCAACATGGCAGCAATGTGAATTTGATATCCAGGCAATTTTACCAGAGCCATTCAGAAAAAGCAACACTGTCTATGGCGTTTTTATTCTTGCCCCACACTCAGTGCTTTCCTTGCCCCATCTCTTCACCACATCTCTGAGGCTGGAAATTGAGGCTCAGGCATGGTAAGAAATTTGCCTGGGCTCAGAACCCAGCGTTTCAGGTCTTGAACCTTTCTTTGAGCAATGAGAGCTGCCCTCAATCCAGAAATTCTTGAATTTACAGAAGAAACATCTACAGGACCCCTACACCGCAGGCTTACTGGTTGGCCTTAGCAGAAAACATTTGCTGTACGAACAGAAGGTGCCTGTGGCCTGCGTGCCTGACTGCCAGGGATGCTGCTTTCTTGGTCCCGGAGGTGCCAACATGGCAGGTCACGCACACGACTGGGCAGACCGCGTTGGGGCAGAGGCCACCTCAGAGCAATTCATGGAAGGCTGTATGCTTTCTTGTGACTGCCATTTCTGTTTTTGCACTTTTTTTATCATGAAAATTTCAAAATATGGCAAAAAGCAGAGCAAATAAATCCCCATAACCTTTTAAATGTCTTAACTCTTCCATATTTGCTTCATCATTTTTACCTTTTTGCTAAGATGTTTTAAATTAGGCCCTGAACACTTCAGTGTGTATTTCTAAATGACTAAGAACATTTTCCTATTTATCCATTATCCTCTATAACAAAATAAATGGTATTTTTTGGTGTTGTCTCATACCTAACATGAATTCAAACATTTGTGTTTTCAAGTGTGCCTGCTGCTTCTGGAACTTTCGAAAAGAGTTGTAGTCCTCTCCAGAACAAGCTGACAGTTCCTCAGCAGGTCAAATGCGACACTGTTCATAACAGAGTCCCCTGGGGATCGGTCGGGTGCCAACCTTCTGGTGAAGGCAGTCCTGCCCTTTCACTCCAAGCTGCTCAAGGCTTGTGTGGCCTAACAACATGTAAACCAGGGCCTCTCCGCATAAAATCCAGATTCCTGGCCTCCCTCAGAAAATGAGCAGAGCTGCCCTCAGGAGCTGGGAGCACACAGCCAACGCTGCACCCTGCCCACTTCCCCGGTCCCGCCCTCTGCCCGGCTTCCCAGGCCTGAGTTTGAGACCCCTAATTTATGCCAGATACACAGACAGTAGGATTGCCTGAGGCCCCACAAAACCATTGAAGAGACCACCCACCCTGTGAGATGATCATACTCCGAGTTGAGATGACATTCCCTCAGGCAGGCAGAGTGATTCACATTGCCCTTTTTAAGTCAGGTGGAAAACCATTTGGAGCCTCAGGCTTCTGATGTGTAAAATGGGGATAAGGACGGCGCCCACTTCATGTATGATAACATAAACTAAGCCCCTGGTAGCTTAGGCATTGCCTGCCAGTCTCAGAGATAATGCTGATAATTCACGGACGCTCAGCCAGGGTGCTTTTATTCAAGGAGTGGCTACATGTCTGGGGTGGGACAGGCAGGTAAGTCGGTGAGCGCTCAGGCAGGGCCTTGTGCTGGGATGCTCTAACCCCCGGGTGCTCAGGGAAGTGCGCAGGGAGTTTGCAGGAGGGATGGAGAGAGGGTTTCACTGTGCGGAAGTGAGTCCTTGAAGATGCTACTTCAGCTTCTCTTAGAGGAAAGCCATCATCAGGTGGTCCAGGTTGTACCCTCAGGTGGAGGAGGGGCCGGGCAGGTGGAGGGAACAGCAAATGCAAAAGCCATAGGCAGAAGGAGCTTGGCTTGCTAAAATGACAGTAAAAAGGCCTCCCACAGCTGGGCTTAGTGGGTCCAGGGAGACGAGACTGTAGTGGCAACAGGGGTCCAATCACATACAGCCCTGGAGACCATGGAAAGAAGCCGATGGGAAGTGGGGCACAGGGGGTGCATGGTCTCATAGCACTTAGAAACACTGCTACTGGGAAAATAAGCTGTAGAAAGCTTTAGGTAGAGAGGTCTTTCAAAAATCTCTCTCCTGTTTCAAGTTCTTCGTCGGCTCCCTGTGTACTCTGTCCACCACCCAACACTCACATCTAAACCCTAGCAGGGGCTTCACAGGAACCCTCACAATGTGGCGCTTACATGCCCTGCCAATCTCACTACATGTCACCCTGTCCCCACCCGCAACACCCACTCAACCTCTTCAACACATTAGCCCCTGACTTTCTTCACGTGCCCTGCACATCGTCTCCAAATGTTTCCAGGGCTTTCATGAGCTGTTCCCTTGGCCTGGAACGCCTTGCCATTAAGGCCTCTGCTCTCGTGCCCCCACCTCCTGGAGGCCTCCCGGACCTGCCAGCTAGAGCTGCCCAGGCCCTCCCCAGCCGCACCCTGTTCTCGTTCCTTCACAGCCCCTACCACTGCCTGGAATGGTCTCATTGGTTCCTCCCGTGCTTCCTCTACGCGATTGTTAAGTCTCAGGAAGGCAGGAACCTATTATTGCCAGAGCCTGACACAGTGCCCAGAGCTCACAAGGGCCCCGGTAAATATTTGTTGTAAGAACG